CTAACAGTGGAACTCATTGTTTAATCTTCTATATTACACATCTATATTTTTGTCCACAGTTGGACAGATCTCAAATTGCCAATGCATTATGTGAAAATTAATGCAAAATTGACAAACCTGCGGCGTCAGCTCTACTTCCAACTCCCCTGACAGATATTGTCGTTCAAACTCTGCATTTTCTCCGACATACGAAGAGATCATTCTCTTTATCTGCTTGGTCTGGAGCAACAGGCCCAGGCCAAAGTTGTCCACACTGTTGAACATATGAAGACGAAAAAAGGAAAATATAAAAACCTAATAATGGGGTAAAAAGTAAAACTTTATGCTACTATTTTGTTTGTTAACTCCAACCATAACATTCACACTTCTTCTGTTTGCTTTGCTCAGGTATTTTGACTGTAAATTTTGTAAGTCTTTTTTATGGTGACAAACTTTTCTACAGCTACAATTAAAGCTGAGCTGATAAAACAGCTATGACTTCAAATACAATTCCCGAAAAAAAACCCCTCTTTGTTTCCCTGGGAGGAACAAAAAATAAATAAAAATCAAACAATAATAATATATACTTTTAATGAATTCAAAGACAAGGTAGAAAGAGAGCTCCAAGCAGAAGCTCCATACTGCTGCCGTCTCATTAAAACACAAAGTTTTGCAGTTCTCAAGATATGAATCAACAACTACTGCTTTGAGCAGGTCAGCTGAGAGCGTACTGTATATAGGCCATGTGTGCTAATAATACACCAGAGAGTTACTCACACAAAACATCACTAATGCATGTTATCTCAAATCTCAGGATTTTTTTTAAAGTTTCTTCTTTTTTTAATTTATGAAATACCAAGGCAAACACTAAAAATTAACTAATTTAGGCAACTTTAACAATCATGTTATATTTCTAATCTATGGTTTTTGAAAATCGTGTACTAAAGCAGGTAATTATATAATTACACTGTGGAGTTTTTTTGCAGACATCTTTGCTGTACCAACACAGTTTATGTCTTAAAACAGACAACTTTAAAAGACTTTAAATAAACACAATGAGCAGTGGAAAATTAGGAAAAAAAATTGGCCAATTTCTGACAAAAGAACCAAAAAATTGAATAAAAGACTATCAAAGAGGGACAGCCAAACAGAAGCAAACAAATGTTTCTGCCTGCAAATCAATACACCAAAAAACAAAGTCCATATGAGTCAAGATGTCGAGGGTTATTTTTCTCCAGCTAAAAATCACTGACATTTACATACAATAATTATCCAGACTTTTTTGTAAGAAATTAAGCAATAGCCATATAGAACCATCAGATTTGAGCCATGTTTTGGGGGGTTTTATTTTCAAAGATAAATGGCTTCTGGAGTTTAATACAAATGTTTATGGTTCGTTTATATTTGCTTTAAATCAGTGATCCCCCCTGTGTCATGGCCCATTAGTGTGCTGTCCAACTTCAGTACAACCATTAATTACAAGAAAAATTATTTTTGAAGTTTAATACACAACACACTTTGTTTACAAAAAAACTACAAAAGGTAGAAATTTAATTTAGGGCTAGGATACACACCAGCAGAAGACAGAAGAAAATCCTCCATGGCTCTATAAGTTTAACAAATTCAGTCAGGTATTGGATTTTGTCTTGGTTATACATTAACAATAATTGTACTTTCAAAGATTTTCTTTAATAACTATTAATATATCCAGCATTATGTCTGTTTGACTGGAGAAGGACTGGTTTTAGTTACTGTGTTGTGTGTACTTTGCTGTACGCAAAATGTGTGAGTTAGTGTTGAGAAGTTGGCAGTGATAATGAAAAAAACCCAATGACAATGACAGGTTACATCCATACAAAGGAGAGAAAGGAATGTGTGCTTAAATGTCCTATGAAAACTGCAGTACAAAAAGCTCTGGTTGTCAGTTGTCACTGCATTCTCTGTAGTCCATCTGTCTGTCACCTAAAGGGAAAACTGCCAGCAAATCACAATACCTCCTACAGTATATGAAGACAGCCATTAACTATCACATTCACACATTCAAGGCATTTACAGTCACCAGTTAACCTGACCTCTGTTTGTCTGTGACTTTACAAAGTCAAAGTAGCTGCAGAAAACCAATACAGCACAGTGAGTGCAAGGTATAGCAAGTTTTTTCACTTGGTATACCTACTGTACATACAAAAGGTTTCACATGTCCAGATAAAGATAAAGAAGAACAGCACGCACAGTAGGTAATGACTGTGTCGTCTTTTAAATAACAGAAAACACAACTTACAGCTGCCTATATATTTACATATTTACAGCATATAAAGTATATGTTAATTTGTGAAGGTAAAGTCATTTTATGCACAAGTAAAACCAGTGCCATATACACGTGCCATTGCTGTGGTTTACTGCAGGTATGAATAGGATTTTCTTACCCGGCATTGTTACTGACAGCAGTGAGACCCTTCACACCTGTCTTCAGTAGACTGTTGATAAGATTCTCCGGGATTCCACATAATCCAAAGCCTGAATTGAAAGACAAGAAATAAAATTGATGTGTTTTGAAGCAATCACAAAGGGCAATGTCTTGATTCCATTGTTAAGAAAATTATATATATATTCATAAGGTACACCATTTGCTTCTTTTGGCAAAATAAAAGATCCCTCAACATGCACAAAGCTACAACATGCAGTTATTTTAGTAAAGAAAAAAAAAGCTAAGCCTCTTTTGTTCAGTCATGTTTAACTACAAACACAGAGCCAGAACAGGCTCAGAATGTGACATTTCCTTTTTTGTTTGTTTTAAAAAAAAAGCCCTATTTCTACTCATCTTTTTTCCCTGCACACACACCTGTGACACAATGGAAACAAAACAGTCCAACAATGTCACTTTGAACTTGACTATAAATAAAAGCTTTGGAATGTGTGTCTGTGCCAATGTATTTGAATGGAAATCAACCAGCATGAGTGTCAGCATGAAACAGTCCAAGCTCTTATTCTTACAAACCAGCAATTCTACACAAAGTGTCAAATAAACCCCTCCATAATATTTTTATTATTTTCATACGCAAAGTTAAAGTTGTGTCTTACCTCCCACCAGAATAGTAGCACCATTGGGTATGTCTTTCACTGCTTCTTTTGGATCAGAGTAGAATTGCGAGCATCTCTGACTGGAGGTAGAGAAGTAACAGCCACAAGTCTGTGGGGAAAAAAATAAAAGCATGACCAAAATTTTTATATATATCTATATCTATATATATATATATATTATATATATATATAATATAGATAGATAGATAGATAGATAGATAGATAGATAGATAGATAGATAGATAGATAGATATAAAACTACATTTACTAGGGTTATCTAAAGCGTATTTTGGCAATTCCCTACTTTGAACAAGTGGCGATGTTTCTCAGACTTTATTGTCCCAACAAAAATAATTTCGTGAGTCTAATATGAACAATTCTTTCATATGATTCGGGAGTCACGAGTCATGTGAAAGATTCGTTCATATTGAACGAAACACTCGCAAACGACACATCACTACTTTGTGTAAACACTAAACTCTTCTTGATTATCCAGGATATCACACGGATTACCGTGGTTACGGTAACAACAAGTAGCAATATATTAAATAAAGTTACATTTAGTTAAAAAAAGGAAAGGAAAAACGAAATGCCCAAGCTGTGGATTTTGTAGCCCTTGGATTTTCTTAGTTTTAAGTTTGTAATGACGTTCTTGTGTTTAGAATATACTGTACATGCCTAACTAAGGAAATCACATGGTCACTTTAGGATGTTTTGAATTAACTTGCGTAAACTAACCAACTTTTGTTACATCTTTCAAAATGAGAAAACTCGTTAGAATAATGAACTAACGTTAGCGTTTTAAGTACTGACCTTGCCCAACTGGATGTTTGCGTTAATTCTGCATGATCTTGTGAGGTTTTTCATTAGCAAACGTTCAGCTCTGCACAAAGCTCTAAGGGCCGCCATCTTTTGGAGCAGGGGTTGTGGTGTCGGTGCTGGTGTTGGTCTTTAACAGCCGTGCCGAGTGAAAACTCCTGTCAAATGCAAACGATGCAACGACACAAATGTAGGTTTAAAACAAAAGGCTACAAGGTGACTATGGTTTGTGTGTACGCTGTGGGCAGGGCCATCACCAGGAAAACGAGAGACTCGGCACAGACTCATATTACCTTAACCCTTTCACTGCCAAATCACTCTACACTACAAATAATATTTACCCCTCAAACGAATTTATGAAAGAAAGATTTAAATTAGAGGTAGAGAATTTGGAAACGACACACCATCTGTTTTATTAATGTGTGAAAATTTGTGGAAATCTCTCCACGACTTGTCCAGTTCCAGAGATAGATTTGGTCCTCCCAAAATATTCGAACGGAGTAATCCTCCATGAAAAAATAAATGAGTTTTTAGTAAATAATCTCATTAATATCACAAAATATTATATGTACAAATGTCGATATGCCAATTCCCCTCCTTCATGACAAAAATGTCTTAAACGAATAAATAATACCCATGCAAAAAATTAATAATTATTTTTGTTTTTTTGGAGGTGTGACTACTTTAAAATCTATGCCTAATATATGTTTTGACT